TTTACAAGATTGATTGTTCCACAGCATTCTTCCTTTGACTTCAACTGCTCATTTGCAATAATCATGTGTTACTTGTAGAGGGCGATGTTGTCGTAGAACGGTGTATTTCGTTGCTGAGTGAACAATCCGAAGAAGAAAGCAAGCGTTGTACTTCCGGATTAATGCTGACGCGTCCCTCTTGAGTTCTCCTAGCGACGTGTCAGTCCTTTTCTGTCGTTAGCCGAGCAGTCAACCGGGACGCTCAGTCACTCCTCGCAGTTATGGCGCCTAAAGTCACCAACAAACAGCAGTCAGAGGAAGACCTTCTCCTCCAGGACTTCAGCAGAAACCTGTCGACAAAGTCCACCGCGCTATTCTACGCCAATGCTCTCATTGTTTCTGCCATCCCTATCTGTGAGTACTTCGCTGCGGTTAATTGCTTTCTGCAACTCTGCCACGCCGTCAAGCGTCACGGGGGAACGAAAATACGTCGGATACGGTGCTAAAACTACAATATATAAGATTAGTAATCAGCCACAAGTGAGATAAAACGTGGCGATTGGCTAATGTTAGCATAGCTGTGCTGCTACAGGTTGGCTATTAAGATACAATAAGAAAATCTTGATTTGTCTCACAATGGAGAAATTCCCATTTTCCAAACGTAACGAAGCTCACTGCAACCTGTGGGACGTCTTCAGTCGACGTCATGTTTCATTTGGTTCCTGTGTGTCTCTAGGGCTGTTCTGGAGGATTTGGCATATGGATCTGGTCCAGTCTGCGTTCCTGTACACTGTGATGACTCTGGCCAGCACCTACCTGGTGGCTTTTGCATACAAGAATGTCAAGTTTGTTCTCAAGCACAAGTAAGATGGGCAGACGGAATGTCTGGATACATAGCTGACATTCTATTCAACCAGAGTATTAACTAAATATCCCGTTCTTACTATGTGAACGTGATGCAAAAATGCCATAATTGCTGTCAATTGTTCATGTCGGGACATCCGATACAGTGAATTGGCCAGTTTAGGACTGTGTTAGTTTGTTTCGGACAGCCTTCACTGATTCTTTGAGGAAATGCAGTTTCAAACTCCTCCGCTCCCCTTTTCTGCAGCTGATGTTTTATAATTACTCTATGGTATGCGAGTCAATCACTCACTTCTTCTTGTCACCCCCCCCCCCAAATTCCTTCCAGAGTTGCTCAGAAACGCGAGGATGCTGTTTCCAAGGAGGTGACCAGGAAGCTGTCTGAGGCCGACAATCGCAAGATGTCCCGCAAGGAGAAGGACGAGAGGTGAAAAGCTGACGACGATAGGGGAACTGCCGATGACTTCAAATATATATTTTTTAAATATACATTAAAGCACACAGCACAGTATATTGTCCTTTTCTCACATTACTTAAGCTGCTTGTTTTCTGATGCCTCAGGATCCTGTGGAAGAAGAATGAGGTTGCTGACTACGAGGCTACCACATTCTCCATCTTCTACAACAACACCCTCTTCCTGGTGCTTGTCATCATCGCTTCCTTCTTCCTGCTCAAGAACTTCAATCCTGCCGTGTATCCTTTCTTATCACCCTGCACAAACGGTTCAAGAAAATATTTCATTTGCAACAAACAAAAAGGGTAGCGTTTGCCTTAACACACCTTCCTCCCCCCCAGCAACTACATCTTGTCAATTGGCGCATCCTCCGGACTCATTGCTCTGCTGTCCACCGGATCGAAGTAGATGATGATGATGATGATGGTGCTAATTGAGGGAAGAAGGGTGGGATATTTGGGTTGAGTACTTTTCACTAAAGTTGGGAGTGAGGAACAATATCACATTTCAACTTCATGAAATTCATGATCAAAAATCTGGAGGCTCTTGCTCTAGGTGTATCTTTTTTGTAACAATAAAAAAAAAAATAACCCATTATAATTGCTCATTGTGTGTTTTAATTGATAATTTTCTTCACTTGGTAGGATTTTTAGTTTTTATAGTAAATCTTCAACTACTCTGCAAGTACAAAAAAATGACAAGACTATTTTGTTTCCATTGGCAAGGCCTTTATTCGGGATTTTATTTACAATAAATGTTTTGCAGGGGAACACACTTATGAGTGACATGTTGCCTCAACTAAAAACAGGTCCCATCCATCTCAACAATAATGGAAATTTGTAATTCAGATTTAAATGAAGTCATACTATTTACTGATACTAGAACCTTGAAATCCATTCGGCTACTAACTTCTAACTTGTCCCCCGCACTCATGTAACAATGAAATGAAACTCATCTTCCTGTGATGGTGGGGGGGGCTCTCATCAAGGCACATCGTTGAGTGGTAAAACTTTAACACAAATCCTGATAAGTCTTCATTCCACACACAGAGGACACATTGCCTTTCACGAGTGACATGACTGCGCATCACCCATTTTATGAATTGATCTTCTTTAAATGCCTGGTTGCGAGACTGTTGCATTTTGCTAAAAAGTAATATGCAGTAATGTGCAAATAGTAATAGACAGTGGGGGAGGGCAGGGTCAGCTGACTGCAGTTTGATGACCACTAGCATAAAAACCAATATGTTAGGTTTATGTGGCGATTTTATTTTCCACAACCAGAAACCACCAGTACATAGGTGACGAATCAGTCAGTTGGAACTTAATGAATCATTTCTTCTGACACTGTGACAAATGAAACATCCCACTGAGCTTTTTTATTGTTGAAAAATAAATGTCCTTCAGAATGCACTTTGAAAATGAGTGACTCAACAATGCAAATTAAAAATATCTCTACACCTGTACATCATAATATATTCACCAAAAACCATATACAGTAGTGTACAGTTTTGAAATGCACGAGGCTTCTGGATGGTTGCTGATATGTTACTAGCCATACTCTAGAAGTCCACAAAATGTACATTAGTATAAGCTTGTTCAACTATACTGGAGTACTCTGGGAGGAAAACCTTGACAGTAGATGATGCGAAAATGCTTGTGCTGTTAGCCATTTTAAATCCATTAGAATCATGACACGCGAAAATAAGTACACCGGGTAGGAAAGAGGAGCACTTTTCCTCTCCTGTCATTCACTTCCTCCAGTGACCACATGGGAGCGACATCTTTCCATCTGGCCAACGGAACCACGACATTCTTTCAAACAGCTTTTTTTTTCAATTTTTTTTAAACAGTCGTCCACTTGTTTTAAAAGAGTGCTTTGTTGAACCAAAGCAGCAGAGAAAACATGCATCTATTTATTATTTTTTATTATGCCTACGTAGCCATTTTATAAAGGCCGATTGACTGCACTCCATCGCGCTACTTGATAGGTAGACGATTAAGGATGTTTATATATTTAAAAATTTGTTAAAGAATCATATTTGTTGTCGCCATAATTCCTGAGACACTGTCACTCATATATCTATAGATATAGATATATGAGTGACAGTGTCTCAGGTGTATATATATAGATATATATAGATATATAAAATTGTGTGTGTGTGTGTGCGTGTGTGTATCCTAAACAAGGCTGACTTTTGCTGAAACGTACCAATGTGAAATGAGCTAAGCAGGCTGGAGGGTTTGAGTCATTGGGAGCATACAAGTGGGTAGTGTACCACTCAAATGAAAGCCATTTCACACTGCCCTGAAAAGGACAGAAAAAGTTACTCCTCCACAAAAGTCCCTTTTCTGCAAAAGACAGAACGTCTGTACAAAGGTGTCCCATGAATATTCCACGTTGAAGGTTGCATCAGAGCCGCAAGGGTGTGAAGCTTTAAACTCGATACTGACGTTTACTGCCCTGCTGTGTTGAAAGTAATTTGTTGCCGTTCAAAAAGATGGCTATGGGCTGAATATGTGCCACCAGAAACAGAATCTGAATCATTTATATTTGAATTTCAATTATTAAACTTGAAGAAGTGCATTGAAAAATGTAATCTTTTTTTTTGTGAGTGGATGCCGTGTTATTGTGAATGCAAGAACCATCCTTTCAATATACTGCTTTGCTGGGTTCTGTGTGAAAGGCAAACGCTGATAAATGCATGCTCTTCTCTTCTAGCTTGGATGCTCCTCTTTTGTGGCATCTGTGTGTGAAAGAGGCTTATCTTGCTCCCCTACTGTATTTAGAAGTTGCTCTCAAAGCAAGGCACTTTTTCTTGAAACGCTCCTGATGTGCCACTCGTCATGTAGAAGTCGCTGGAGAGCAGAGGTGGGTAAAGTACCGGTATGTAGGACACAGGCTAAAAGCTGTGCAACCCACACCTTCTATCAATCCAGCGCACTAAGCACTGACAGTACATGTTCAAGAGTCCATATTTGTTGCATTATTTTAGCTCTCACCCCCTGAAAAGTGTTTCATTAAAATATATTAATTATTGAAATTCAAATCAATTAATTTTATGGTCAATAAAATAACACATGAATGTAAAAAATACTTACATAAAGGTTTATATTTTTATGATTTTGTGGAGGAAACAATAGTTGGTTCATCGATAATAATTAAATGAATTATGTTTCAACTTTTGGCTTTTCTGTGAGTGGTCGCCACCGTGAGACACTCGCATGATTTGTTTGGCACAGTTTTTATGTCAGATGACTTTCCTGACACAACCCAGATAATATTTATGCTAGCTTGGGACTGGCACTGCCTGGGAATCACCATCCAAACAAACTGCAGAACCTCAAATTTAGAAATGACAATGAATTCTTCTCTTTACTTATCTTCTTATCTCTCACATTTGAACTTTTTTCTTTCCTCATCCACAAACTATGTGTTCCATTTGCACACCCGCCACACACCGAGCCCCGCGGACGATTGGGATTGAACTACCGTGCAGTGTGTTGGGTTCTGAAATTAATTTTCATAAGTGGCCAACCGCTGGCTTCTGGGTTTATTGTGATTCAAAATCAGAATTGCCGATGGACGGGGTTGTAAATCAGAGATGTAAATAAAAAAAATACATTCTGGTTCAAAGCAAAATCCATCCGGGTGCCACCATACCAAAACAGTACAGTATATATGAATCTCTTTCTGAATGTGGGAGGAAACCAGAGTACCCGGACAAAACCCAGGCAGGGATGGGGGAGAACATGCAAATTCCACAAAGGAAAGGTGCCGGAATCGAACCCATATAATTTAGCTGCAGCCGCCAAAGCAATCTGTTTCTTCCTTTATAAATGCATCATGTTATTCATCGTTCAATGAAATATAAGACAGTACCGGATAAAGGTACTGCCTAAAAACCTCGTATCCCAGGAAAAACACATAGAGTGGCAAGGTCAATCACCAGGTGTACAGCTGTGAGTCACAGACTGTAATTTGCTCCCAGATGTCCAGATCTGTCACAAACGGCAGCGTTGCTTGGTGTACGGCAGGCCTAAAAAAAATCAAATCTGGCCCATCAGCACAAAAGTTTACCCACCCCGACTCCAGACATACCGTACTTAACAGGCTGCACCATGTGTCCAGACGGATACTAAACAGGGCCACGCTGACTAAGCTAAACTAGAAGCGTCAAAGAGAGGTTTATCAGGTTGGCACCCGATGTTAGCCTCGTGGAACCGAGCAGGGCAGCTCAGACAGTCCAGGTCATGCAATGCTGGGTCTGTTCCAGTCTGAAGCAGGCCACAGCAGGTCCATGGTAGGCGGTATGACAAGTCTGTCGCAGCCTTGACCACTTGGGGGGTGGTCCTACCAGCAAGGTCTATGAGCGGTAGTCCTTCTTACTGTACGGCCTGTTGCCCAGAATGTGGTCGATTTCGGACACCACATGAGACGTCATCTTGGGAAGAACCTGGATGTGAGACGCGTGATAATTGATACCGGGAGGACGTGAGAATTCTACAGAAATAAAGTTGGATTCAGGAGAGGGTGCGCCACACCTCTTGCCCAAAATAATCTGTGATCTGCTCGAGCTCACCCACAATCCGAATGAAGACAAGCACTACGGAAAAGAATCGCGTTAATGCGTGCATGTGTCCATGTTCTCACCTGGATGGCCCCAAGGTTCTCTGTGAGCTGCTCGGGGTTGGATGTTCCCAACAGGACTGAACTCACACCTTCATTCCTTAAACACCACGCTGCAGAGAGAGGACGAGGTAGAAGCGTGAGCAGTTGCACCAACCATGGTTGCTTCCTCGTAGGTAGTGCGCTTTTAATTGTCTTGACAAGTGGTGATTTTGCTTTTGGAATTACCTCTGCCGATGCTCTGTTTGTTTGTTTTTTAATCATGTGTGTGCAACTGCCTGTTTGAGATTTTCTTTTCTATTCTTGAGAAAGTAAGGTATTGATTTTGTTGGTGACAAATATGACAAATTACGAGTAGGGCTGTATAGACGGCAAACATGAGTGCAGCAGACCGGCTGGAGTGTGACTTACCCACAGCGAGTTGAGGTAGCGTGCAGCCCAGCTTCTCCGCAATGTGGTTGAGGTCTTTCAGCTTGCCTTGCTGCTTTCGTCCATCTTCACTCACTATTTTTTCTCGAAGCCATTGATACGACTGGAAGAGCGAGAAAGTGGGGAAGTCAAAAGGTAAAGACAGAACTGGATTTAAAAAAAAAAAAAAAACTCACGAGACACATTTTCATGAACATTTCATTCATCTTTTGAAATACAGGTAATTTAAAATAAAAAGGAACGTACCTTCACCTTTTCTTGCAGTTGTATTTTAAATTATTATTATTTCATCTCACTTAACATTTCATCTGTTTTTCAACTGACCTTCTGATTCGTGGGCCCTGTTTTAAAATTTCTTATTAGAAAAGGGCAGCATACCACAGATTTTAAGTTTTCAATTTACCGAACATTTTGGAATGTGACAGCAAGAGAAGAACCTGGAGAAAAAGCCCGGAAAAGTCCAATTAATGTGTGTACCTTCATGGAAGCCCTGGAAGATTCAGGAATGCCATTCTCATATTTCCCTGTGATGATGCCGCACGCCAGCGGCGACCAAGTCATCGCTCCAACCCCTGCACCCAAGGAGAAGACAAATGGGACTACGTATGTTAACAGAAGAAGAACTGTGGAAAGTTGAAAATATGACAGGATGACAGCAAAGACTCCTTTCCTATCTTGTGATAAAGCTCGGGCAGTTGCACTTCCACTTTCTCCCTCTGGAAGAGATGGTACTCCGCCTGCTCACACACTGGCGGGATCAAATTAAACTGTCTTGCCACTGAGTACGCCTCCTGCAAGAACAAAGACCGACCAAGAATTGGGAAGCCTGATATATGCATTAGTCAGCTTCTTTGTCACGAAAAGAAAATAGGAGAGGAGAAAAGAACCAAAGGAGGACAGCCATTGATGGGACGGACTTAAAGAGGAGGAAGACGGATGAGAGAGGGCTAATCAAATGGTGGCAATTGGGTACTCATTCAAATGTTAATTTAAGTCAGTTAATCAATATTCCATCTCGTTCTTACTTCATCCATCCATCCATTTTCGGAACCGCTTTATCCTCACAAGGGTCACGGGGGGTACTGGAGCCTATCCCAGTTGTCTTCGGGCAGTAGGCGGGGGACACCCTGAACCGGTTATCAGCCAATCGCAGGGCGCAAAAAGACGAACAACCATCCGTGCTCACACTCACACCTCGGGACAATTTGGAGTGTTCAGTCAGCCTTCCATGCATGTTTTGGGAATGCGGGAGGAAACTGGACTACCCGGAGAAAAGCCACGCTGGCACGGGGAGAACATGCAAGCACCACACAGAAAGGCGGAATCGGATCCGACAACTCTGCACTGTGAGGCCGACACACTAACCAGTCGACTACCGGAGCACCGTTTAATTGAGTAGAATTAAGAATGATTTCAATTTTGGTCAACAATGGCTAGTTTTTAAAAAAATGTTAGTCATTACAAATTGTTCCTTTGCAAAGATGTATAGTGAATCTTTCGGGATGTTTTTCATGCTTACCATGATCTCCATCGCTGTCCACCGAGACGTTCCCCAGTACATTGCCATCCCTTGGTTGATCACATAAGTCATGGCCCGGACGATCTCTGTCAGACACATGCAAATTATCACCAAGTTGCGATGAGTGGGAGAATATTTTGAAATGTGTTTTTGCGTGTGTGTGTGTGTGTGTGTGTGTGTGTGTGTGTGTGTGTGTGTGTGTGTGTGTGTGTT